GGATGCTGCTGCTGCTGCTGATGATGATGATGATGAGGAGGAGGAGGAGGAGGAGGAGGAGTAGGAGGAGGAGGGCCGAGAAGCAACGACCGATGAGGGACGAGGAGGGAGGGAGCAGGATGAGTCTGGAGGAGGGGGCCAGCTGAGCTCTCTCCCCTCCCTGCACCCCCCGCGTGTCGCGTGCTGGTGGGTACACAGAGCTCGCCATCCGCAGGCCACCTGTGCCGTGCTTTCCCGTGGGGACCTCCTCCATTCCAGCAGTTCCTGCACTCTTTGGCGTCCAGATAGGGGCGTTCCAGAGCTCGGCGGCGAGCGAGGGGGGGGAAGTGAGAGAGGGGGCGCGCCCTCTCAGGAGTCTCGGAATGCCCCCCAGCCTTCCGAGAAGTCTTCTCCACGCCCCCCCCAGAGCGCGAAAGCCTCGCGCACGGCGCGAGGGCCCCCGAGAGGTCCCGCCGCCATCCGAGAGGGCCCTCTCCTCCTCCTCGCCCCTCCCCCTCGAGGGGCTCGCCCTCCTCCTCCTCGCCCTCCTCCTCCTCGCCCCTCCCTCCTCCTCCTCGCCCCTCCCCCTCGCTCGCCGCCACAGGGGGAGGGCCTCGCCCTCGAGGGGCCCGACGGAGCGCCGCGCACCTCCCTCCCCCCCCGGCGGGAGGGCGGCGGCGGGAGGCCGGCGGACCTGGGCGGCGGAGGCAGAGCGAGAGGCCGCGGCAGCCAGCGGACGTGAAGGGGCCCTGGGACACACGAACAAAGACATACAAAAAAAGAGAGATTCCCTATATATTTCCCTATCTTTTCCCTATATTTCCCTATATTTTCTATATACACACAAAAAAAGAGATTCCCTATATATTTCCGTATATTTTCCCTATAGTCCCTTATATTTTCTATATACACACAAAAAAAGATATTCCCTATATTACAAACAAATACACACACATATGTTTCCCTATCTTTTTCCCTATATTCCCCTATATTACAAACAAATACACACAAAAATATAGATTCCCTATATATTTCCTATATTTTCTGGGTTTGTGTCTCCCCCCCCCCACTTCCCATATGTGCTCCTATTTTCGGGGGAATCGACGATTCAGTGTGTCTGTGTGTTTCTTTCCCTCCTGAGGATGGCCCGGCCAGCGGGCCAGGGGAAGCCGGCGGGAGGGGGAGGCGCGTGCCTGCTGTTGCGGCAGTCGATGAGTGGAGAGGAAGCATGCTGCCAAATGGATTCCAGGTGTCCAGAGCACGTTCCAAACATGTTTGACCATGTGAAGGCATGTTTCAAACATTTTTGGAACATGTTTCTACACATTGTAAACCCATCTTTAATTCAATGATCGGATTGTTGGAGTGTCCATTGTCATGGCATCCACAAGCCTGCTGGGGCGTGACTGAGCGGGGGGCGATCCATTCTAGGCCTCCCAGATGGGGTCCGAGTAGACGGGGTCGAAGGCTCGCTCCGCATCGCCGATGCATCGGCGATGCGGCCCGATGTGGAGCCCGAGTTTCCCCACGCCGACGTCGCCAGTGCATCACCGGCGCCGCCGACGTCTCGCCGATGCATCGCCGAGGCAGCGACGAGGGAAACGAGAATCAGGAGCCAAAGAAGGACGTACACGTACATGAATCCACGCTGGTTTCGAGAGTACGCATTGCCCGAAAGTTTGTATCACGCGGCCGGTCTCGCAGATCAAGGGGCCGTGTTCATGTACATAGCTGGGCGCGGACGTCCTCTGTGGGCTCCCTAGAGAAGGGGGTCCCGAGGGAAGCGCAGCCTGGACCCCATGGGGGCGATCAATGGGGGGGGGCAGCGGCGAGGGAAGCGAGGACCTCGGGAAGCGCAGCCTGCGCCCCATGGGCTTGCCCCTCGGACGGGCTGCTCGTCCCGAGGTCGTTTCTCTGACGGCCGCTGCCCTGGACGGCCAGGCAGGGTCGACGACGCCCATTTGGGCGCGAGCTGATGGGGGGCGACAGATTGGGGGGGGGCAGCACGGGCTGCAGAAGAGGGGCCTTGTAGCCGAAGAAGAGCAATGCTAATAAGAGGAAGAGAAGAAACACATACCAATACTAATAGTACTAGTAGTAGTAGTAGTAGTAGTAGTAATAATAATACTAGTAGTAGTAATAATGATTATATTAGTAATAACATACTACTACTACTACTACTACTACTACTACTACTACTACTACTACTACTACTACTACTACTACTACTACATAATACTCATAATACTAATAATAATACTACTAATAGTAATACTAATAATAATTCGAATATTAGTAATAATAATATTATTGATACTAATACTACTAGTCATATAGTAATACTAACAACAATAATAATAGCAACGAAAACTAAGAACCGCCATGAACATAGACCTTTGGCGCTCAGCGCGGATTTCTCGGATCTGCGCTGGGCCCTTCCGGCGGCGCCTCCTGGCGCCGTCCTTGGCGCGCTCCGCGCGCCAGGGAGGGGGGGGGGGTCCAGCGCGGATCCAAGAAATCCGCGCGGAGCGCCAACAGTTTGTGTTCATGGTTTTTGTTTTCTTCTTCCATGGCGTTTCTTTTCTTCTTCCATGGCGTTTTTTTTTCCCCCAGTTTGTGCTGATGGCGTTTTTTCTTCCATTGAAAGGTGCCCTCTGTAGGGCCCCATGGGCCGGGGGCCTTCGGGGCCCGAGAAGGGCACCTCTACCCCCCCGCTCCAACTCTCGCCCCCGCTCGTGGATTCTCGCCCGGCCCCCAGGGGTGACAACATTTTTGGCTTCCGCCTCTTCACGGGAGCCTCGCTGGTTTCCTTCCGACCCGATCGATCCGACTCGAAGAGGATCTCGGCAGGTCCAGTCCGATGCGATTCCGATACGACGACGATCCGATGCAGCCGGAGGTTCGCATGGCGCTTTTGTGCATCCTGGCGCAGCCGATCCTGTTCGAATCTGACTCCGTGCCGATGCGGCCAGAGCCGATAGAGTGGGGACCCATGCCAAGAAACGCCCTGCTTGCCTCCAGGGTGCCCGGGGTTTCTGGGGGTTTCGACGGCTTTGCTGTGGAATGCGTGACGCTCCCACGCCAATCATCGATGGACGTCCTGGGGTCTCAGGGTTGGGGTTCTTGTGGCAGGTCTCTCGTGGTCGGGCCGCAAAAAAAAGGATTGCAAAAAAACAAAGGATTGCAAAAAATACGAAGGATTGCAAAAAAAAAGATTGCAAAAAAAACCTTTGCAATCCTTCGTTTTTTTGCAATTGCAAAAAAAGGGTTTTTTTTGCAATCCTTTGTTTTTTTGCAATCCTTTGCAATCCTTTTTTGCTGTACATGCATCGATCCGATCCGATTTTGAGTCTTTGATGCCGATCGATCTTGCTCGAGGCTTCCACAGGCAAAGGAGCGCCTCGATCCTCGGGCTTCCAACCTCGACCCCCGATCCTCTCCGCGTGCGACGCTGGCTGCCGCCGCCTCGCGTCCCCCCCCCCTCCCCAGAGAGAGAGATCTTCCTCCCCCCCCTCCTCCTCCTCCTCCTCCTCCTCCTCCTCCTCCTCCTCCTCCTCCTCCTCCTGCTCCTCCTCCTCCTCCTCCTCCTCCTCCTCCTCCTCCTCATCTCTCGCGCGGGGCTAGGACGAGGGCAAATCCGTAGCAGGCCGTTCCGGACCGCTCTCAGAGCGTTCCAGAACGCTCTGAGATCACCGCGGTGCCCCAGACATGCTCCAGAGCCGCCGGATCTGGGAGATTCTCGATTTCTTCTCCCCCGATTTTATCCTCGTCCTGGCTTCGTCTTAAGATCGGGATCCCGCAAAGGGGGATGTGCCCCGGTGTGTGTGTGTGTGTGTGGGTGTGTGTGTGTGTGTGAGTTCGATCGATTGTTGCACCGAACGGGCCAAAACAGATGCGCACCCGCCGCCCAAAGCTCCCGATGGTTGCCGATAGGTGGGGCATGCGGGGGGCATCTGTTTGCGGCAGTTCGGTGCGCCAGCGGATCGAACTCATGCTTCCCCTCAGGGTCAGCCCCCCTTTGTGGTGCATCCCGAGAGAGGCCTGGGGCGAGCTGCACTGGATCCAGGAGGCATTCTGGCTGCAGTTCCAGTGGGCCCAGGCCCTGGTCTGGCGCGAGCTGGCGCCCCTGTCCGCCGAGGACCCCCCCAGGGATTTGGCGGGGTCTCGGTGGCAAGTCATGCGAGCCTGGTATACCTCCTTAATTCCGTCTTCAGCGTCGATGAGCGTCGATTGGCGTTTGGGGGTCGATGAGATAGCGCCAATTTAGCGTCGGCTAGCATCGATTAGCGCCGACTTTGCATCGATCAGCGTCGGTTTAGCGCCGAAGCGTCGACTCGCAAGAGCCAGCGACAAGATGGTATGGGAGGCTCCCATGAGTTGCCACCGAAGCGGGGGTGGCCCGCTGGCGCCGGCTGGCCAGAGCCCGCACGAGCGGTGTTACAAAACGACGATCGGCACGATCGACGTGGGGAGGAGGAGGAGGAGGAGGAGGAGGAGGAGGAGGAGGAGGAGGAGGAGGAGGAGGAGGAGGAGGAGGAGGAGGAGGAGGCTGAAGAGACGGGGAGAAGGGAGTGGGCGGGTCCCTGAGGCTCTCGGCCCCTTCCCTTGGACACTGTTTCTCATCCAGAGCCGTTTTTATCACAACCCTCCCATGTTGATTGCATCCTCGTTTTGCATCCTCAGCGTCGCGCGTCTCTTTCTCCGCTTCTCACATTTCGCGCGCCATAGGGAGCTCTTCATACGGCCGCGGTGAGGGCTTCCGCATGGCGGCATCGCGCCCCCAATTCGCGCATCCCTCACACGCTTCGTGCCGCATTCGGGGCTTCATCTACAGCCGCAGCCATGGCGCTCGCATGGCGGCGCCGCCTCCCGCCCGTCTCGGCACATTCCTCCCACGCATCCCGCCCTGCAGGGAGCTCCACCCACGGCCCCAAGGGCCTGTCCCGCACCCCCGCAGCACCTGTGCGCGCCTTTGCGCGCTTCACCCGCTGCCCTCTGTGCGCACTGCCCCCCGCAACGCG